AAATTACAATGTGGAGACTCTGCAATAATTTAACAGAAGTGCTTATTTTTCACTTGAAATTTTTTTGTGGTCATTTTTAGATTTAATTTTTTATCGGCAGGGAATATAATAAAACCTGTCTTCCAATTAATTGTATTATAGTATCGGTATCGTATCGGTTTGAAAAAACTGGTATCGTTGCATCCCTAAAGACTGCGGCTCACCTATCAGACGACTGGACCATCTCACTATTTGATCTGTTGGGAAGCCAGATAATATTCTGTTCACAAGAATTATCAAAAAATACTGAACAAATCAGAAACATCTGCCTGAAAACATCCGTCAGCTCTATAAATATGTAAATGATAATTAAAAATTTATTTCAAAAAGCAGGCCGAGGCTACAGTTTATTTTAGTTACGTTTTAAAATATTTTCTAAAAGAGGAATTTACAAAAACGATCTAGGATGTACACACATATCTATCATTTATTTACCAAATAAAAACACAGACACAGAAAAACTGACATATTTTAAAATATAAGTTGTGTTTAATACAGTTCATTAAGTGTTTTCTATAAAAAGTTTCCTGAAGGTTTAAAGCTCAAGCTTATAGTCTTGAAAGTTGATGGGGATGTTTTTCAAATCAGATTTTCTCCGGTGCAGCTCGGTCGCTGCTCAGAGCGACAGGTTGACGTCGCTCTTCATCTTGCCGCTGCTGAGGCTGTGGATCATGGCGATCATCGCAGAGTGTTTGTTCAACTCGTCCTCCTTCTGCTTCAGCTTCGTCTCCAGCTGACTCTTCTGCAGCTCCAGAGACGACGCCTGGAAAACAGAAAATGTTCTACATCAAGAAACCAGCCTGGGTTTATCTCCTGTCTGCTGCCTGATCATCGACTTAAACCCTGACAAGCTTGGATTCGTCTGTGGACAGAAGCTTTGGGACAGGCTGCAGGAATCTGTTTTTGACTCCGTCTCACGCCTCGATGGTTACAAGCTCTTTAATTTTGGGATTTTTTTTTTTAAAGATCTGAATCTAAAAAGCTGTTTTATTTTATTACGTTTATTAAGTTGTCAAAAAGGCGTCTCACTTTATGTGAATTTGGACATTTTGTTTTCCCTTTTTGGAGGATTTTAGTTTCTTTCTTTGTTCATTTTCGAAGCATCGTTTGTTTCTTATCAGCATCTCTTCACACACGTGAGAACAGAGAACGACTTTTCTGTCAATTGTCCATCAAATCACAGGTGCATGCATGAGCTAAAATTAAGGCATCAAATAAAAGAAAAAGAAGCCCAACAAAATCCTTTACATGTTAAGGAAACAAAGGTATAGAAGCTGCAGGTGTAGCTTGGAGCAAACGTGTCGCGTTTGATCGGCACTCCTGTTGTTACCTTGATGCTGGCGTCCTTCCGGGCCTGCTCTGTTTTGTTGAGTTCTTTCCTTAAAACATCCACCGTCTCCTCCAGGTCTCTCCTCTCCTGCTCCTTTT